TCACATCGCTCTATTCAAATTTCAGTCAGACATGTTGGTAATAATTTGTAATAGTTATATGTGTTATAGAAGATACTCTCCTATAGAACCACTGGCCTAGGTCACAAGTAGAGACCATGGAGTGTCATATGTTATATACAGTTAAGCATTTCTATAATTACAGGCACCACAGACATATCTGACAGAAAAGTGGAATGATGCAAAAAAAGCCATCATTTGCCTTGATGTATATACAAAGTTAAGAAAACGTCTAAACAATCTCTTTAAGTTGTATTTAATGATCTAACTGCTTGATCAACTACTTTAAAAACAATTTTACTGCTTATTTTTACAAGTATGTTAAACAATTACAAAGAGAAAACCTACATGCATCTTCACAAACTTCACAAAACCAGAATACAAAGGCCACAATGTCTACTATATCAGTAGGGTGAAAATGAAAAGAGTGCATTGGTCCATGCTGTTTACATAAAACATTTTTATTGTATTCATGATAATCTCCACAATGACATCATCTTCACATTGTCAAGCTATTATGATCTATATCTTATACTTTGACTGCAATAGCCACTATTCTTGTATCACAGAATGTACCAAGTTGATTTGATTGAATGCCAGTGAAAACAGCCAATCAGAGCCCTCGACAGAAATGGCTGTGTTCACAAACTCTTTGTCGAGGCCTCTGATTAGCTGTATTCACTAGCATACAATCTAATCAAATCGCTTCATTTACAAACTTTCAAGATAAAAGGTGACTATTGCAGTCAAGGTATAAGTATGAAGTTAGTAATGGCTTGCCATTGTGAAGATGTAATGACATAAACTTGGAACCAATTATTCATTTTTCATGCAAAACCAGCCTATAGGAAATAATTCCAATTACATCAGTAAAAGGGAAGACATTTTGACAGATAACCTGAATAAAAATCATAATTCTTAAGTTGATGCTTTTTTTCTGCAGGTAATAAGTATTGATAAAATGCTTTGTTATAGCTTTAGTATCTTTTATTCATATGACTGAAACAAAGCCTAATTAAAGTTGGGTTCCCTTATTTTCATTTATTTATATATATATATATATATATATATATAAAATCACTCTCGAAAGTAGAGTGTTCTAATGATCGAGAAAAATGTCTCAAGAGTCCCTAATTAACTGGTAATAAGCTAATTACCAAGGGAATGCAGATGAATTTTCCTACCAGTGACCAGAATGATCAATTTTTTTTCAGTGTTTACTGCCATGAAGGCTTATGATTGGTTAATCGAGTAATTTGGTATTCAATTTATTATCTCCAGCAGCAGGAAAGATTATTGTTCAATTTCATTTTGCAAAAATGTAATGAATTAATTTAAATCAGTTTTAACTTTCCATATTCCCTTCTAAATAGATTTGGCTCATAATATCAAAATAAGAAAAAGTGACTAGTAATTCAAATACAAATTCAAAACATTTGGTGATGTAAACAACCATGGAGTCTAAATTTAGCTACACCAAGTGGATTTGAAATTATTGGGCTAGAATACATGGATAATTCATTATAAACACCAATAATCAAAGTTTGCTTGATTTTACTCTTAATAATTTTTACTAATGCAAGAAGCCATCTTTAACATGGCATAATAATTTATCATACAATAATTCTCATTTTTTGTCTGAATGTTTTCAATAAACAAATCATTAACAATGTTTTATTGTGGTATTATGCAAACAATAATTCATACAAATTGACACTCATGGCGACTTGTGATGCATTCCTTATCTTATTCAAATGAATTATGATCTAAAAGATGGTGACTTATTTGACTAATAAAGATATTTATTCACATCTGAATTCAATATTTTAAAAGGTAGATTCCACTGTATTTTTAGGTGGTTAGTTTTTGACCTATAAGACATGGCTATAGATTTGATATTATTAGATTGTAACTACAGTTGTCATCCTTGATCTGACAAAAATTCTTCTTTAAATCATATGTACAATCATAGGTTGCCAACCAATCAAAAATGATAATACAAGGCAATGTTTAACAATGAATATTCAACAATTCCTTACTTACAGTAAGAAAATTTCCATTAACAGAACATTGATTGGTTGAATATCATATGACCTAGAACATAAAAATACATGTAAATTTGGTAAGATCATGGATGGCATGTGGAGGCACCCAGAGAATAACTATAAAATAAACTTTTCAGTCTAAAATATCAAGACATTGACATTGTGAAAATCAAACAGAAAAACATGAGTGATATATATAAGAATCATAGCTCATCCATGTACCCATTTTCAACAACATCTGAATAAGGCTTTCATATTTGGAACATCTCCTTTAATTCTTGCATTCTTAAGATTATTTAGATTCATAGAATTGAGTTGCTGTCAAAAACCTGATATTGGTTAGGAGAAAACTAGGACACATCCTGTTTTGTGTAAATGAATGCCTATTGTAATTGATATAATATCTTCATACTTTGTTAGCATTTGAAAGTTGACAATAAATAACAGAACTGAGTTGAGAAAAATACTAGTATTGGTGAAGAAGAACAATTATTTGAAATGTCAAACAAGCTATTAAAACCAGGAATGATATTCTAGATCACAAACTGTGTCACTTATTAACGCTTCTCTAATCCATCAAAGACTCTAAAAACATTCTAAACAATAGTTAACAAATCACATACGAGACTACGTCAGAGTTGTTGCATGATCAAAACATGTAGTTAACCTACTCTTAGTACACTCACACCCACAACTATAAACACATACAGAAGTAGAATTTATTTCATGTCATAGATTTTAAAAGGGGCAGGCTGGTATTCTAAAGGGGCAGTCTGTTTTTCAAATAGGGCAGTTTGTTTGTTTAAAAGGGGGCAGTCTGTTTTTCTTAAAGGGACAGGCTGGTATTCTAATTGGGCAGTCTGTTGTTCAAAAAGAAGCAGCCTGGTTTTTAAAAGGGGCAGTTTGTTTTTTAAAGAGGCAGTCTGGTTTTTAAAAGGGGCAGTCTGGTATTCTAAAAGGGGCAGCCTGGTTTTTAAAAGGGATAGCCTGGTTTTTTAAAGGGGCAGTCTGGTTTTTAAAAGGGGCAGTCTGGTATTCTAAAAGGGCCAGTTTTTTTTTTTAAAAGGGACAGTCTGTTTTTTAAAAGGGACAGTCTGTTTTTTTAAAGAGACAGTCTGGTATTCAAAAAGGGGCAGTTTGTTTTAAAAGGAGTAATCTGGTATCCTAAGAAGAACATTTTATTTTTAAAGGCGTAGTCTGGTATTCTTAAGGAGCAGTCTGTTTTTTTAAAGAGGCAGTCTGGTATTCTAAAAGGGGCAGTCTGTTTTTCTTAAAGGGGCAGGCTGGTATTCTAATGGGGCAGTCTGTTGTTCAAAAAGGGCAGTTTGTTTGGTTTAAAGGAGCAGTCTGTTTTTTAAAGGGGCAGTCTGGTATTCAAAAAGAAGCAGCCTGGTTTTTAAAAGGGGCAGTTTGTTTTTTAAAGGGGCAGTCTGGTTTTTAAAAGGGGCAGTCTGGTATTCTAAAAGGGGCAGTTTTTTTTTTAAAAGGGACAGTCTGTTTTTTAAAAGGGACAGTCTGTTTTTTTTTAAAGGGACTTTCTGGTATTCAAAAAGGGGCAGTTTGTTTTAAAAGGAGTAATCTAGTATCCTAAAAAGAACATTTCATTTTTAAAGGGGTAGTCTGGTATTTTTAAGGAGCAGTCTGTTTTTTTTTAAAGAGGCAGTCTGGTATTCTAAAAGGGGCAGTCTGGTTTTTAAAAGGGATAGCCTGGTTTTTTAAAGGGGCAGTTGGAAAAGTTAGGTGCTCGAATTATTGAAAACTATTATTCAAAACCTAGAGAAAAGTGTCCTTTACATTTTCCAAAACTTTTAACTTAAATAATCTAGCCATTAATGTCACTTCTAACGAGAAAATGCTTAAAAGGTTTACATAAAGTAATGTACAGATTTATTTTATAGAAAAATACTACTTATACTGAAAGTTTCAACGAAAATCCAACACAAAAGCAATTGAAACTGTTTAAAAAAGAAATTGTAGCCTACACTTCATCTATTTATTACTCATTTTAAAGCGAATACAAGATGATCAAATAGATACACAGGAATAAATAACATATTCTAGAAATCTTTTCCGGAATACTTTACTACGTGTTTAATAAGGAAAATTATGGATACTGCCTCATTAAGATGAGTTTAGTGTGTTGGTTATCAGATTGGTGCAAAAAAACATGCAATAAATACATGTCATGCAATAAATACAAGATTACAACCTACTGTGTTCAAATGGAGATTAAGTAAACGACATAAACAAGCTTTCAACAGATGTTATTCTGTCTTGATAACAAGCCTTTTAAAATCGTATTCAAAACCTTTTAGAAAAACCTTGGTCTTGTAGATCAAAAACAAATATTAGATAGTGGACCACAGCCATATACGCCCACCATGGCATGCGGATGGTAAATATTCAAGATTTTGGGGCAAGAGCAAAAACTCTGCTTCTAACGGTCAAATAGCTCAAATTCGAACTTGATCTTCGTTTTATGAATATGATCCACATACCGTATTCAAAACCTTTTAGAAAAACCTTGGTCTTGTAGATCAAAAACAAATATTATATAGTGGACCACAGCCATATACGCCCACCATGGCATGCGGATGGTAAATATTCAAGATTTTGGGGCAAGAGCAATAACTCTGCTTCTAACGGTCAAATAGCTCAAATTCGAACTTAATCTTCGTTTTATGAATATGTATAGACATACCGAATTTCATTTGATTCCATCAAAAATCTAGTTTTTAGAGTGTTTACAAGCAAACCGACAGACCGACGGACGGACAGGGGTGCTGACAATATAGGTGCCGGATTAGCATAAGCTTCGGCTTGTTTCCGAACCCTTACTTATTTTCTGTAAAAAATTTCATTTAATAAATAAAATATTGTTTTTTCCAAAAAATGATTCAATTGAAGATGTGAATAAGAAATTTCAAGATAACTTACATATTTTCCAAAAAATGATCTATTATCTGTTTGTCCACCTTTTTCCTTCTCCATTTTATCTCTGTTCATTTTATCTATATAGGTCTGGGTGTCAGGTCTAGAGAAAGATACATTGTTAATAATGCAAAATTGAACAAACTAATATCTTTGACAAGCCTTTATTTTAATGATCTCTTCCTTACTTCTCTTTAATAAATTTATTTCAATTGTTATGTTTGACTAAAGGGAACCATGCTGGAGATCAAGGCCTTTACAACTCTCAACTTTATTATATTCCTGATTTGATTCTACATTTTATGTCATCACATATTATGACTATATGTCAAGGACAAAGAAATTGATAGAATCAAGCTATAAAAAAAATCTTGAAATTTTACATGTTGAAAAATAGTGGATCTTACCCAAATTCGCCTGCGTCGTCGGCATGTATTTAGTAAAACTAGACAACTTTCTCACAAGATTTTTATTTCCTGACCTAAAGATATTTTTCTCAACTTACATGGGACCAGAAACTGTTTGCATGACATCTACTGTTGTCTTCCAATCAGTAAAATTAGAGTCTGGTACAACCAAGCCTATACATCCTCCAGGCTGTGTCACTAACGAGACACCTAAAACCTCTCCTGATTGGTCAAAATTTAATGTCAGCTGATCATTGAGACCAGATTCGTACAAAGAACACTGAAATAAAAATGATAAACACGACATCAATATGTTTTAAGATGACTAAGAAAGATTTCGAGAAAATAATTCTCAAAAATCCTTACGCTCAAATTATAGCATCAACACATTACAACAAAAAAGATATGTGTGGACAATAGCTATTTTGACAATGTGATGCTTATAATCAAAGAATTCAAAAATGAAACCTGCATCCTGCATGCTTAGTCCATGATAATGCAAATATTCTTAGTCCATTTTTGAACAAAGCAAAGTCTTGTATATTAGCAATATTATGAAACACTAAGGATATGCCATGGGAAACAACTCCTGTTTACAATTTTGAATTTCTACCACAATTAATTAGTACTTACTGATGGTATAAATGTTGAAACAAAATCTTTTCCTCCATCTTTTATAGGTACTCTTATACGGTAAATAATATCAGATTTTACAGATTTCTACAAAGAAAAATATCATTTAAGCATTTAGGTAAGGTATGTTTCAAAAATTACAATTTTTTCTCAAATTTCTTACCATAGAATTTAAAATATAATTTGATCAGGATTTGCAAATATCAATTTAAAAAAATATCTGATAATAATTCAAACTTATAATATTCAAGAGCTCACTGTCTGCTGTTAACACAAATTTCCGATATCAAAATTAATCTGAAAAACTGGTTTAGAAATGGGGGTTGAATTTCCAATATACAGGGCCTGTATAAAGCCAGCCCACCTTGGTTACCCGGTTGAAATATTTGCCTTTTTATATGAACTGGGGCTAAGACAGTTCCAGGAGGTTTTTTTTTTTTTTGTCATGTTTGGTTATAGAAGTATGCTGCAAGCATGCACTCATATATGAATACCAGGTACCAAGGTACCCTGATATCAAGGCTTCCCAGTCTATAGACAAGGCTTCTCAGATTGACCCACTATAGATTTAAATAATGTTTCACTTAATCTGTAGAAACTGAGTGATGTCAGACCTGAGATACTCTGCAAACCAGGACATCTGGTCTGCTGGGTTGGCCAGCCAGATATAACCAGGTCCTTAGACTATAAAATAATAGAAACAGGGTCAAATAGTCAACAAGAATATTCTACATTGCGCTGACTATGTTTGATAGCTACAAGATAATGTAACAAATAAGGAGCGACACAGAAACATACCTTTAAACTTTTTAAAATATCTCTAGGTTCAAAATCAGGAGTAGGTGTAAAATGAGCTTTGTTTCCTTTTAATGATCTGATCACAACTGTACCACGTTTAGAATATTCTTCATTACCTATAGAAATAGATAAGATAAACTACATAATATTAGGGGGAAAGAGAGGCCCTGTTTGCTGCAGATTGTGCAGGTTAAAAGGACATAATATAAATGTCTAAATATGTGCTTTAACAGTTGATTTTTAAGTGTAACTTTTGAATGAAAGTTCAAATATTATTTCCAAATGTTGATTACCAAATGTTACATTTTGATGGACCTGAAGACTATAGGACAAAAACCAAGCTCCAGTCTATATAGAATTCTTATCTAAAAATTCTTTTCCAAAGCCATTAGAGAAAAGCGGAGCACATTGATATTTAGTGGATAAAAATAGTTAACATTGTATGCAAGAAATAGAAAAAGATAATAGCTTTCTCACCAAAGGAATGTTCAACAGTAATGGTTCTTGATCCTTCAAATTCATCATCTAGCTGAAATTACAAAATATAAATAAACACCAATTTAAAAAAATTAACATATTTAGATATTGCAGTAAACAGAATTTGTCTGGCCATATCCTTGTCATATAGTAAACCTTTTTCCTGCATTAAAGCAATTGAAGAAACATTTAAATTTAAGATTTGGTTTGGTTCTATATATATTCATAAATATTTATCAAATGGTTGGATTAACATTTAAACTTTTTCTAAATTGCAACAGAACAGAAATCAGATTTTGATTCTGAAAAGTTAATATAGATAGCTGAAAATGGGCCGTAGCAGGTAATTTATATATATTAAACTACCGAAAATCCCTTTAACACATTATCTTTTAAAATAAAAAAATCTTCATACAGACTTCAAGGTCTTAGTTTTAGGCGGTTTGGTTTGGGTCCTGAATATCTGTGATTCAAAAGTACCAGTACTAATAAGCTTACTACATAGAATTCCATAATCACTTCATATAAACCTCAAACTAGAAATTTCACTTCATTTATAATATGTTTTTTCGATATAAGGCTCGGGAGAAGACGACCTGTAACTCTGGATACACATTGACTTGAAGCCATTGTCATTCAGAATTCCCATGGCCAAAATACATGCTGTGTAGGTGAAGTTTCAAGTGTAAAAATTACTTTACTAGGAAAGACTGAGAATTCAGAGCCAATTTTAATGGACCCAAAGCCATAGGTAATTGGGATTCGTTGAATGTACTGTCAAAGCTATCAAGTAGTATATAAACTCACAACCGAAGCAAGTCAAAGGGATAGTGATAGATATCTTTTATTTCACTTGAAAAGAGAGAATCTTATTAAGGAAGTCTTTCGGTCTATGTTTTAAATGTAACTAACTTAGGCCTACGATAAAGCTCACTCGAATTTGATACGTCGCAGATGTTATTCGGGAAAACTTTCACGAGAGTTGATGCACCTGATGCCAGCGATTATCTTTACCCCATGCAGACCATACTTACGTAAACAACCTGAGATAAATCTGCAATTATCACTAAGATAAGACCAACTGTCGTGCACTTCATGGGCGCAGCCATTTTGGATTAACTCATCACGGGATCCAATCGGAATCGATGTTACTTGTGCTGTGGAAGAGTGGGCCAATCAAACAGCACGATAATAAACATCTTGGCCAAGCAATAAATATGGCGGAGTGTTGATTGAAAGTGTTGATCGTCAATTATATTCTAACGGGTTTCTAATTGTAGATGAGATAAGCTCAGGTGTTGATCCATCGATTGACACTATGGAGGTGGAGGTTGAAAAGGGATATCAGCCAGACGACTTTATATTTTATTCAGTCCTTTATTCAAGTGTAACGGTTGTGTTTGCCATGGCAGTTCTATCTAAATTTCTCACAAATGAATTTCGGTTTGGTTTTCGCTCTGTTTTGAGTTTGGTTGTGTTGTTTCTGGGGGAACCACTATGTCAGTTCCTAGTCAAAGGACCTTGGGGATTAACATGTTTTGCTGTTGGATGTTTGTTTATTTATTCTATTTTACCACCAAGTCATCTGTCAGTTGGAAATAAAGCAGTCTTAATAACAGGTGAAGTATTTTAACTAATAACTGAAAATAGACAATACTGTAACACAGTAAATCGGAATCTGTTGGTAGCTAAGATGTTGGTTTGATGTAATGCATTAATGCACAAATCTCAAACAAATTGTTGCTAATACTTATCAATGATGGGGGTGGACCAGGACAGGAATAGAAAAAGCATCTACTTGGACAGCATTACGCCAACTTTTATATGAGATTTTAGTCTAAAAAATTAGGGACAAATTTGGATTGAGATCCCTTTAAAATTCAGGTTTTGGTTTTTTTAAAGTCATGATGTTTTACCTATTTAGATATCAATTTTATATACCGGTACCGTACTGGTATTTGATTTATTACTGGTACCAGTTCTCACTATCTACCCACTCAGTAATAAATAAAGGGAAATGATGCATGAAGTCAACTGGCAAGCTGGTGTCGATAATAAACGATAATTAGTCTTTTACCAGTAATTAAAATATACATGAGGTAAAAAGAACATGTGTAAGCCTGCTACACTCAAATACGACATTTTTTTTAATTTCGAAATTGCAAAAATACTTTTGAATTTGTAAAAATACTTTTGAATTTGAAAAAATACTTTAAAATTTGTGAAAATACTGTTGAATTTGAAAATGTCTTTTTGAATTTGAAATTCAATATGCCTATGACCACTTTATGCTGATGATGCTGAAATCATTTTTCCCCTATGTCTTGATACTGTCAGTACGACTAATGAGACATTAAATTATACCCCGATGAGGAGCAATGTAAATGATAGGAGACAAGTTTGTTTGATATATTACCTTTAAACCTTCCTGATATTTATCTTTGTAGGTTGTGACAGTGGATTTGGTCATGCTTTGGCCAAAAAGTTAGATAGTATAGGTATGAGAGTTTATGCTGGATGTTTGATAAAAGATGGACCTGGTGCTATAGAATTAAGAAATAACTGTTCAGAAAGGTTAGTGTGTTAAGAATAAATTTGTTTCCAGAAAGAAATGATAGTGCAACAAGGTATTGTTATTCTTTTGGCTTAGAAATTACTTATTCACTAAATAATGAATTTAAAATATCGGTATTGGAAATTATGCAATAAAATTCCAATTTGCAAATCATATTTTTATTGATTCTAAAGCAAGGAATAAAATTTCATTGTACTTGTTATTTCAGAGTAAAATTAATTCAGTTAGATTTAACTAATATTAAAGAAGTAAATTGTGCAGTAGAATATATTCAACAAGATTCACCAGAGGGTATTTACTGGCCTTTTTTACTTCCCTTATTTGATTGGTCTCTCCTAGTAGTGGTGCCTTTATAATTCTCATGCATGATGCATGTTTGGATTGCTGAAATTCTGTAGCATTTGATTGCGAAAAGGGGATGTAGTCGTGGGCCAGTGAGATACTTCTGCTCGCTACCCAGATGGTCCAAGGTTCAATCCCTGCATGAGTTGGAGGGGCTGACATGGAAGAAATTTGGATGAGATAATAAACAGGCCTGTGTGCTATGGACTGAGAACAAAGACTCCTCTTAATAGAAGGAAACTAAATTGTAAGCTGATACTGCTGTCTTGGAAAAATGTTTCCATCATTTCCCACTGCATAGTTTTCTCATTCATTCATTCATTCATTCCAGGATTATGGGGACTAGTAAATAATGCTGGTGTGTGGTATTGTAGTGAGTTAGAAATGACATCTGAGAAGATTTTACATCGTGTGATGGATGTTAATTTATTTGGGGCTGTAAGGATAACGAAAGCTTGTTTACCAATGATCAGAGCCTCCAAAGGAAGAATTATTAATGTTTCTAGTTTATTAGGTATATTTCCATAATTTTCTATTATAAAAATTGTTATGGGACAGTTAGATTGTTCTTTTGTTTGTAGGAAGTATAACATTAGAAGGTTATGGGATATCTATGTTATAAGATTGTTCTTTTGTTTGTAGGAAGTATAACATTAGAAGGTAATGGGATATCAATGTTATATGATTGTTATTTTGTTTGTAGGAAGTATAACATTAGAAGGTTATGGGATATCAATGTCATATGATTGTTATTTTGTTTGTAGGACGTATAACATTAGAAGGTAATGGGATATCTATGTCATATGATTGTTATTTTGTTTGTAGTAAGTATAACATTAGAAGGTAATGGGATATCAATGTCATATGATTGTTATTTTGTTTGTAGTAAGTATAACATTAGAAGGTAATGGGATATCTATGTTATATGAATGTTATTTTGTTTGTAGGAAGTATAACATTAGAAGGTAATGGGATATCTATGTTATATGATTGTTATTTTGTTTGTAGGAAGTATAACATTAGAAGGTAATGGGATATCTATGTTATATGATTGTTATTTTGTTTGTAGGAAGTATAACATTAGAAGGTAATGGGATATCAATGTCATATGATTGTAATTTTGTTTGTAGGACGTATAACATTAGAAGGTAATGGCATATCTATATTATATGATTGTTGCTTTATTTGTAGGACATATAACATTAGAAGGTAATGGGATATGTATGTTATATGATTGTTATTTTGTTTGTAGGAAGTATAACATTAGAATGTAATGGGATATCTAAGTTATATGATTGTTATTTTGTTTGTAGGACGTATAACATTAGAAGGTAATGGGATATATATGTTATATGATTGTTATTTTGTTTGTAGGAAGTATAACATTAGAAGGTTATCGGATATCTATGTTATATGATTGTTATTTTGTTTGTAGGACGTATAACATTAGAAGGTAATGGGATATCTATGTTATATGATTGTTATTTTGTTTGTAGGAAGTATAACATTAGAAGGTAATGGGATATCTATGTTATATGATTGTTATTTCGTTTGTAGGAAGTATAACATTAGAAGGTAATGGGATATCTATGTTATATGATTGTTATTTTG